TTAGGTCCAGGATGCAAATTAAAAGTACTTTCAGTCAAAAAGAGATTTATTCTAAATCATCCAATAAAGCCAAAGAAAACGTGAAAACGGAATTTACAAATAGATATAATCTGTTCTTGAGAAGCATTCAGTCAGAGACATAACTAGGTTATTCTGTCTGATCTTAACTTATACCCTATGCAAACCAGTACACTTTTGTGCTAAATCGGGTTAACTGAAAGAAAATCAGAAACAGAAATTGAAAAACTGAATTTTCAAAAGGATTAAAATAATCGCTAACTTATATCTTTAATGTGACACACATGGAGTAGACGAAAATCGGTTAAGCACCTTCTAAGAAGAGAAAACATGTTTAAACTTTGGAGTATTAGTTTCAACTATCACAGTTGTCCTGCAACTCTAATGGTAATAATAAAGGATAATGGAAGGAAAAACTTACTTAGTGTTCCTGGCCTGGAGTTTAACGTACCAAGGGTTGCTTCCAGTGAAGCGAAACATGATGTTTCCCTCCTTTCCTGGGACAGTGGGACAGTCAATGGCTTTTGTTTCGATTTCCCATCTGCCATCACCGGGGATGTACAGGTCATAGCCACCTGCGTTGAACAAAACAAAAATTAGTGATCATTGTCACAAAGCAGCGTCTGACGATTGAGTTCAGGGTAGGTAATTCAAAATAGTATCTATTCGCATTTTCTCAGACTTCCATAACAGTTAATTGGTCTCCATTTGTAGGTATTGGGTTTAGAGAGCCAGAGCTCGGTCCAGCTCTGCTCAGTTCAACGCGTTGTTTTCTTGGTTAGACACTTTACTGTTACTTTCCCCTTCTGTGCCTGCCACAAACCGTCATAAAACCACACAAATTTAAATTACCTTTTCCACATCCGCCACACAGATCATGAATAACAGCTTTTATAACACCAGTGACAGGATCTGACCCACTTCCTTTTCCTGAGCCCTTGATTTCCACGCACATTCCACAGCCAAGGGAATTCTGGAAGTCGTAGTTACCGGCCGCTACTCGCATCCAGCCGGGCTGAGAGGACATTGGGGAGAGTGGATCCAAGGAGCATGCGCCGCCTCCGGGATACTCGCCATAATAGGTAGCCTGGAAACGAGAGAGGCGCGTAATTAGAGAATCTTCACTACTCTACTATAGTTTGTTTGACTTCTGCTACCTTCAACTCGAGGGAAAATGTCTGGTGAGACAACGAATAAAAAAGATGACATTGAGGACAAAAGTCAATGTTTTGCCTCTCAGATCTTGAAGTCGACAACCGGTGTTTTTTTTACGAGCACTGATTTATCCTATTGGCGGCGACAAACGTGAAATATCTACTTAGGTTTAAAGTTGTTATGCAGGGACGAACTCTGGCTACGAAGCAAAGGGCTTATAGCTTCATCATCATGGCCCAGTCACAATTTCTTTCTAACCTAATCATCAAGGAATTCTAAACACGTTACAACAAAGGAAATGGCAAAGGTTTTTTTTTGGAAATTGTTTTTTAATTGATGGATATGGTCACGTATATCCCCGTTTAGTCGTTTTAATTCAGCTGCAGGTTTTATTTGTTTCGCTGTAAAATGATATCAAATATCTCCAGGAAACGAGGTGCGTTTTCTTACCTCAGACTTCAAAGTCTCTTTATATCGATTGTATATATTTTCAGCATTGGATACATCAGTGGCCCGTTTTTGAACAACACGGTCCTTTAAAAAGAGAAATAAATATTGCGATTAATCATAAAAAAGGTGATTTCAAATCATTTTTGGAATTTTTTAAACGTGAAAGGTTACCTCGTTTAGGGTGTTGGCGGAAATTTTCCTAACATCTGTACAAGTTATTTCCTGAAATAAAAGAGAGATCAGAGAACGAGCGATAGGTTGTTGACCAATTAACGCACTCAAAGTGTCTCAGCCTTTAATTTATCAACCCAAGCTCCCAGTGTTAGGATAGCTATTTTATAACGTAGTCAGGAGTTTGCGAGTAATACAGTGCGTTGGTAAATCTCGTTATGGCTGTTTCTGCAATCACTTCTTAGAGGTCTTTTATCATAATTTATTATTTATTACACTGTTGTATTTAACCACACTTTATCTAATCACTTCTTTGAGTTGATATTCGGCTTGTCGCCTCGTTTCAAGTACAGTACGAAAAATAAATTTTCACAAAAGTGATATACATTGTACTGAATTACAAACTACGGCATCCTTACCTTTAAAAAAAAGCACGTGACAAGAACTGTCAGATGTTTGCCTAGTCTTAAGTTCATGTCCATCGAAACTGGCATTGCCAAACTTAAACAAACGTCAGAAATGAAATTAATGGCTTCTAAAATTGTATTCACGTTTGTATTCACTATGAAGTGGTTTAATAACGTTCGCACGAGCTATCACCTTTACGGAGTTCAGAGTTACAATAACTTGGATCGAGTCAGTAAATTTGATACTGCCTTTTTATTGTTAAACAAAGGTAACGTACCTAGAGTACATACACGCCACACAAATAAAAACAGGTGGAGCAAGGCAGATTTAAATTATCTGTCAAGTTTGAATGACATGTTTAAACTAGCAATTAGAATTATTTAAAGTTGAAACAAAGTATTCATTGTGAAACAATAACTGTAATATAAAAGATGAACAAAACGCAACAATATTCAGTAACAATACGAAAAACAGGAACCGTAAACAAACCCTAATTACTACTAGAAGACAAATCACAGAAGTCAATGGAAATTATTAAAGAAACCTACTAAGTTGACAGTCGTACCTCAATACTGTTGTCTAAAAAAATATGACATTTTGACACTTCTTCTGTTCTAGATTGCATAAAGGTCGGCACACACGAGGGGACTAGTCCCTTAGTCCCTGCGACTAGTCCCAGCGATCAGTTTCATGCGACTAGTCCCTTCGTGTGAACTACACATTTCTGTAGTCGCAGGGACCAAAATTTGGTCCCTG